CTGAAAGAGTGAAAGAAAAGAGTGAAACTATTATTTGCAACATCATGGGTGGACTTAGAGTATATTATGCCTAGTGAAGTATGGAGCAGGGAGCCGTTCCCTTCTCCAGGGGATCTTCCCAACCCAGGGATCAAACCCAGGTCTCCAGTGTTGCAGGCAGATTCTTTACCAGCTGAGCCACAAGGGAAGCCCAAGAATACTGGAGTGGGTAGCTTATCCCTTCTCCAGTGGATCTTCCCGACCCAGGAATCAAACCAGGGTCACCTGCATTGCAGGTGGATTCTTTACCAACTGAGTTATCATGGAAGCCCTGTAGTGAAATAAGTCAGCAGAGAAAGAAATACTCTGTGTTATCACTTATATGTGAAATCTAAAAAATAAAACGAATGCACATAACGAAACAGAAACAAACTCACAGATACAGAGAACAGACTAGTGGTTGCCAGAGGGGAGAAGGAAGGTGGAGGGGCAAGATACAGGTAGGAGATTAAGAGCTAAACCTACTGTGTATGAAATAAACTGTAAGGATCTATTATGCAGCACAGAGAGAATTCAGCTGCTCTTTCATGATAACTTTAAGCAGAGTATAATCTAGGTAAATTCTGAATCACTGTTTTATACATCTGAAAGTAATATGATATTATAAATTAGCTATCCTTCAACTTAAATTTAAAAAAAGAAGAATTTAAAAACATAAAAGTGTATTTTAAAAAATAGAATAACCCCAATCCATCATCTCACCTCTGGTGATGTTTATACACATATATATCAAAACATATCAAAGTTTACACTTTGAATGCTTGCATTTTATCATATCATATATCAATTAACTTATTAAAACAGTAATAGTAAATATGCATTTTAAAAATCCCTCCCAAGGACCCAACTCCAGTTCTGCCTAGCTCTTTGCTCTCCTCCCCTTCACTGTAGCCTCTAGATGTCCTGACCATTCATACAACTCCACTTCCCCAACATCCATTCCCCTCCTCCACCCCCTGACACTCCCAGAACTGCCCCCGTCAAGGTCACAACGCTGCTGGCGCCCTTGGACGCAAGAATAGCGCCCTTTATTCTACAGGTTTTCAAAGGTCAGGAAACGGGATAAGCATACTATTAACAGGATGCTGGCTGCATTTTCCAATAACAGGCTCAATATGTTTTTCTACGCACCAACACACATATTGTTTTCTCTGTTGCTTGGATGTTGCTTGGCAAACTCATTGTGCTGTTTCAGACTGACAATTAAAACCTTGTTTTGAAGTTAGAAGTGTCTCACCTCTAAAGTTGTCTAGAGCTTGAAGAAAAACCTATCAAAAATATACTCTTTAAAAGTAAGTTTCTGAGACGTCTAGGAAGCCGCAGCCGCGGGTCTTCCAGCCCCGAGCAGCTGCCGAGCCTCTGCGCGATCGCAGGGACGAGGGCTCGGGCGCCGGCGAGATGCCTCTGTTCACCGCCAACCCCTTCTAGCAAGATGTGGAAGACAAGTAATCATCATTGGCCCAACCTCACTGCTTTTGATTCTCCGTCGGTCGTGTTTTGGCAAGTTAGTGGCTACTTTTGGAGATACATTTTTCCTTTTCCCCATCTATTAGTAAGTCTTCCACATGAAGCTTTCAGAAAAGGCTACGAATGAGTACAACACTACAGAAGATTGGAGTCTTATTATGGACATATGTGACAAAGTTGGAAGCACTCCTAATGGAGCAAAAGACTGCCTAAAAGCCATAATGAGAAGGGTAAATCATAAAGTTCCTCATGTTGCTCTGCAGGCACTAACTCTTCTTGGGGCTTGTGTGGCAAACTGTGGAAAGATATTTCATTTAGAAGTGTGTTCCCGTGATTTCGCAACAGAAGTACATGCTGTGATAAAAAATAAGGCTCATCCTAAAGTATGTGAAAAACTGAAATCGTTAATGGTAGAATGGTCAGAAGAATTTCAGAAGGACCCTCAGTTTAGTCTAATATCTGCAACTATTAAATCTATGAAAGAAGGAGTTACTTTTCCTCCATCAGGTTCTCAGACTGTCTCAGCTACTGCCAAGAACGGTACGTCATCTAACAAAAACAAAGAAGATGAAGATATAGCTAAAGCTATTGAATTATCACTGCAAGAGCAGAAGCACCAGCACACAGAAACAAAACCCTTGTATCCATCTGCAGAGATTCAGTCAGATCAGAAAGTCGCGAGGAAAGTGAGAGCTTTGTATGATTTTGAAGCTGTTGAGGACAATGAACTCACCTTTAAACATGGTGAAATTATTATTGTTTTGGATGACAGTGATGCTAATTGGTGGAAAGGAGAAAATCACAGAGGAATATGACTCTTCCCATCTAATTTTGTAACATGTAATTTAAACATAGAATCGGAGGCAGCAGTTGTCGACAAATTGAATATAGTTGATGAAGAGGAGGAGGAAATTAAGAAATCAGAGCCTGAGCCTGTTTATATAGATGAGGATAAGATGGATAGAGCCTTGCAGGTACTGCAGAGTATAGATCCAACAGATTCAAAACCAGACTCCCAAGACCTCTTGGACTTAGAAGATATCTGCCAACAGATGGGTCCAATGATAGATGAAAAACTTGAAGAGATTGATAGGAAGCATTCAGAATTGTCTGAATTGAATGTAAAAGTCTTAGAAGCTCTGGAACTTTATAATAAGTTGATGAATGAAGCACCAGTATATTCAGTCTATTCAAAGATCCACCATCCAGCACATTACCCATCTTCATCAGTTGGAGTTCCAATTCAGACATACCCAGTTCAACCACATGGTGGAAACTATATGGGTCAAAGTATTCAGCACGTCACTGTTGCCCAGAGCTACAGCCTAGGACCGGATCAGATTGGTCCACTGAGATCTCTGCCTCCAACTGTGAATTCCTCAGTGACAACACAGCCTGCTCAAACTCCGTACTTAAGCACTGGACAAGACACTGTTTCCAACCCTACTTACATGAACCAGAACTCTAACCTGCAGTCAGCTCCTGGTGCAGCGGCTTACCCGCAGCAGATGGGGGTGCCCGTGGATCTGTCGTCTTACCAGAACACTACTTCCAACTTGCCGCAGTTGGCAGGCTTTCCCCTGGCAGTTCCGGCTCATTCAATTGCACAGCCGCAAACAAATTACCATCAACAGCAGCCTCTCCTTTAAAAGCAAACCAAGCATTCTCTTGAAAGCCTTCATAAGTGTACTACTCAACCCTTGTGATTATAATCTGAAAATATTAAAAGAAGGAAAAAAAATTTTTCTCAACTGAAAAGACCCATAAATAAATAAAGCACAAAAAAAAATAAATAAATAAAAGTAAGTTTCTTAGCGTTTCCCGCACTTCGACTCCCTGGATCTCATTGTGCTGTTTGCAGTCACCGAGTCCATCCTTGCCTGTACTCTCCCTGGGCAAGCGCCCTGCACATTCCCCCTGCCCCTCTGAACCACGTTCTGAGTCTTTTTTCTGGTGCCTCTTCCTTTCCCCAAGGCTGCATTTGTCCCTGGAGTCAGTCCTGTGACCTCTCCCTGGCAAGACCCTGCACCGTCCAGACGCCACTGGCCCCCAATTCTGTCTCCATCCCAAGCTGGCCTGGGTGTCAGACCACTTGACACCAATGGTGTATGTTCCCCGGGCCCCATCCAAATCAGCAGGGCCTGTCTCCTCCATCCATGCCTGCAAACTCCAGGTCTCCTGCCATCTCGTCTCGTAGATGGTGTGGGGGCCCCTGCAGCGACGGGGCTGCTGATGGGTCTGGGAGGCGGGGGCCAGTGTAAGACACTAGAAGCAAGCAGGCTGAGCCGTGCAGTCACAGTTGTGGCCCGCGGCCGGCCCTCTGCTCAGGCGAGCCTTCCGGGGGTTGCTACTTACTAGTGTTTGGTCTGGGTCAAGACACCCGCTCTGCACCCCAGTTCTCTCATCTTCGTATTGGAGGCAGTACCCATGGTGAAAGCAGTAGTGCATTGTGATTTGGTAATGAGATGAGGTTTGTGCAGGGCTGGAAATGGTGCCTAAAACACAGGAAGCACCCGGGAAGCATTCTAGGTGGTGGTGGTGGTTACCGTTGTTAAGGGATCTACTTGGGTCCTTATATGTTCGCTTTGATAACACAGTGAAAAGTGGGGCCAGCACTTTCAGAATGTACTGAATCCAGCAGAACCACAGTGAGAAATCCAGATCTCCTTCCACACCGTTGCAGGTGAACCTGTCACTTTTCTTAGAAATGCTGTTCACCTTGGCCTTCAGAGGCATGGAAATAGGTCCTTCAAGACCCTGCCATCACATTTTCTGCAGCTGGGCATCCTAGGAGGCTGCAGACCTGGACCCGGAGCGGCAGGGTGAATGGGCGGCTTTGCGATCACTCACTGGGGTCCCCTGCACTTGCTGGTGCCCAGTAAGCCCTGCATCCCATGATGAGGTGGGGATTGGCGCCGTGATCCCTGGAGCCCCCACTCCAGTCTGAGACACGCGCCAGGAGACCATGGCGGGCCACGTCACCCACAGCCCAGGGGGCGATTGGATCGGCCTCCCCAGGACTTGGAGTAAGCGTGCCTTTTCCTTCCAGGTGGTCTGAACATTCTTAAAGAAGGAGTCCTCATTTTCCAGCAAAAAAGGGGGCATCCGCAACAGAGAAACACCCCAGGCAGAGAGGGTGGGACCAGCTCAGAAAGGGAAAGACTGCTGGGCGGGAGCTCCAGGAGGATGGAGCTGGGGGCAGCAGATGATCCTAGGAGGAGCTCAGGGGCCTGCAGACATATCTGACCCTGCAGTTGTTCCAGACGTTCTCCCTGAAGGCAAGAGCCAGTCACTGAAATCCCTCAGACATGTCTGTGTTTCTGAGAGCTTTCTCCCTGGGTTGTAAGTAGGATGGGTACGGTATAAACACTGGGGGCTGTAATGGGAGAGGAGTATTTCGAGGAGGGATTGGTGCACAGCTTCTCAGCACCTGGATGCCTGCCCCCTGCGCTCCACTACATCCCTGAGTAACATTAGGTCTTTCTTCACTGCAGGTGCCCTTGCTCGTGTGAATCAGTGACAAGATGCAGTTGTGGCAGAAAGACCCCCCGAGGGATGCCCACAGCCACGCTGATGAGCACCACACCCGGGGGCTTCAGGATCTGGCAGCTCCCGTCTCCAGGCCAAAACTCGCCTCTTTGACTTACGCTCCTGCGTTGTGGTTAAAACGGATTGGGGTGCTGCTCTGCCACACGGCTTGTGCCAAGGAAATGTATTTGCCTCTGAATACTTAAAGTTGCCAATAAACTATTCTTGTTGGCAGGTTAACGGGACTGTAAACGCTGGGCCATCACGCTTAATTATATTGACGGACAGAGTGGAAAGAATCATGCCTTAGGCCGATTTTGGATCTTTGAGACTTTTACCACATGTAGATGGTTAAAACAATTTAGTTGTTGAAAATCTTTCTGAATTCTAGGTAAAGTATGTACATGAAATAACCTGAATGTCTTATGCTACTTGATGCAAGAAGAAAGAGTTGAGAGGCTTTTTCAAATGTGACTTCACTGAGTAATGAAAGTATTATATTCTTATTCCTCCAACTGGGATAAAAACCTCATGAAGGGTTGCAGACCGTGATATGACAAAGTAAGCTATTAAGAATCAACCAGTCACGCGGAGTAACAATCAGACGTGATGTCTGGGGAGGGCAGGTCTAAATTCTCCCCAGGTGGCGGTGGCGAGTTCAGAAGGACTTTGCAGTGGACGCGTGCGCACGTGGTACGCTGTCCCCCCCGCAGGCTGTGATGTGCCACAGGCCTCTCCCTTGGAGGGCTGAGCACGGAGCCCAGAGGTTGCCCTGGGAGCCTCGGAAATCCTCCCCAGGGCAGGAAGGAGGAGCCTGGGCGTCTGAAGGTCACTCCCATTAGATCACGACTGTGCCGGCAGTTCATGCGGTGGGCATGGTCTCCCTGCTGGGTGCAGCAGGCTAGTGGCCCGCCCAGAATCACAGCCCAGGGCACTCAGTCTCCCGTTTTTATCACAGATAGTCCACCACCGCTGTAGAGAAAGCTCTTTAAGAGGTTAATAGAAATCTAGAGGAATTCCTGAAACAAAATTTCTGTCTTAATGAAGCAACAAATACAAGAGATCGTTTGTATGTTTCACAGTGATTTCAGATCAGGCATCTTGTAGGAAGGACTTGCTGTGTGTTGTCTGATGAACCTTTCCTGGGCAGCGAGGGCATCAGGCAGTCACTCTTACATCATGCTGTCTCCACTGTTGATCTTCTAGTGCCACAAATAAAAGAAAGTGAAATTGTCGTCCTTCTGTGGATTTCATGGCTCTGCTGGGTACCCTATCCCCAGAGTAGGAGTTGCTATTGTTCAGTCGCTCAGCCGTGTCTGACTCTTGGCAACCCCACAGACTGCAGCGTGCCAGTCTTTCTCGTCCTTCACCATCGCCCAGAGCTTGCTCAGACTTAATGTCCACTGAGCTGGTGATCCCCTCCAGAAAGGAGAAATTCATTTATTCAGTGAGTCAGCCCTCTTCTGCACTCTGGGTTACAGCAGATGCAAAACAGACAAGAATCCCTGCCTTCATGGTGTTTGCATCAGAGTGGAGGAGGCAGACCATAAATGTACCGAGTTCACTCAGACGCCATTACGTGATTAGGAGAAAAACATGCACAGGGATGAAGCATTCGTAGAGTGATGAAGACAGGCCTCTTGCTGCAGTGACATCTGAGTGAAAACCTGGAGGAAGTGAGAGAGCAAAGCGTGGGTGGACGCCTCGCTGGCGGGAGAAAGGGCAGATGCAAAGGCCCTAAGGCAGGATTTGCCGCAGTGTTGGAGGAAGGGGTGTAGAAGGGCGTGGTGGAGGGGGAGGTGGGGATGGGGGGAATGTCATACAGTTCCCCCAGCGTCTGGTCCCTGTCTTCACATGAGTCCGTGCCCCGCTTCTCAGGGAAGCCTTCCTCCCTGGCAGGCTGCGAGAGCAGCAGACATGAGGACGGCAGGGCACACCCCAAGGATGATAAAGGTGGCCCCCGGTTCATATTGCTCACCTGATACTAGATGCATTCTTTGTTGCCTTAGCTTACATTCGGTACCCATGCTGGGTTTGGGCTGGAGCATGGAGAGTGGGACAGATGTCTGCGTTGCGCTTTTGCCTTCTTGCAGACTTTCCCAGTGGTGCTTGGTGGTTCTCACTGCAGGTGAGGGTCCATTTTCCAGATGAGGAAACTGAGTCCAGGAAGATTAAGCCTGATGATGAAGAAACTGCCTCACATTATCCTCATTCCTAACTCGGCGCATTTGCACCCTCCGTGCCTTCTCCTAAGCCTGTGAGACCCGTCCTCATGCCCCACGCCCCCCACCCCCAACCTCCGAGGTCTCAGCCTCAGCTCTCTTCCACGGGGAACCTCCTCCAGGTCACGGATGCACTCATAGGATGCATAGCCTGCCTCTATGCCCAAGATGCACAGCACCCCAACCTCCGACCCCACCAACTGGGCCCCCTTACAGCGCCACTCCCCATGTGCCCCTGCGACCCGGCCTCCTTGCCAGCCCTGCAAGCTCCCTTCTGCTCCCCCCACACATCAGTCCTTGTGCAGCCGCACATCCGCCTTTCCACCACAGCGCATCCGCTTGAGCACAGGAGGTGGGCCTGAATGAGCTTCCTGGGCCCAGTTTACACCTATTAGCCCAGCAGGTTACTAACCACGTCTCATCTTTCTCTGCAAAGGCCCCAGCTGAGACTGTGACGGTGTCTCCCTCATTGTCAGCTCCAGACGGTGCTCAGTGAGAGAGAGCCTCATGGGCAGTGAGGTGAGTCGAGGTGGCCTGTGTTCAGTCTGGGATTTTCTCATCTTCTCTCTGCCTTCTGTTGCAAGGAACTCAGAGGAAGGACTTGAGGGGCCAGGAGGCAAACCCCCAGGGCTCCAGGAGGCCAAGAGGGTCTCAGAGGGGCTGAGAGAAGGGCCCCCAGGGAAGCCTTCCCGCCCTTGACTCTGGCCACAGCCTTGGGGGGCCCTGGAGTCGCCGGACTGCATCAATGCTGAGCCCAGCTTTCCCCATCTTCCAGGATCATTTCCTCGTCCCCGCAGCGGCCCTCAGGGCAGAGAAGTGGCATTTCTGTTTCCAGGTGTTTTTGGAACAGCTTCCTACTTACTAAGAAGCCCATTCTTAAAGGGGATTCAGGGCAGCCCGGGTGATCTGACTCCTACCCAGGCTCCAGGGGGCCCCAGGATGGGCTCGATCTTGTGACTGGTTCTGGGTGGAGCCTGCCTTTCTGGACCTTGTCTGCTGCTCGAGCCCTCCCTCTGCCCTGCTCAGCCTTGGGGCAGTGAGACAGATCAGCCCAGGGAGAAAGGTCCAGAGGACCTGCTTAGTCAGAGTCTGATGGGCAAATGCCCGACCAAGTGGAGGATGGAAGTTCTCCAAGGAGGCAGCCCAGAGCAGCTGGAAAGAAGGGGTGGCCAGTGTGGGAGGGAGAAATTACCCTCGGGGGCAGGTCTGCAGGCAGAGGGCCTGGGTGGCCCAGCCCAGGCCTGAGGGCAGAAGACAAGCTGGTGGCATCGGGGGAATCGGAGATTGGCTGAGAAGGGACTGGAGAGGAGGGTGATGTCCCCCTCTTCACTTCTTTGGAAACCTGTGAGCGGTAAGCGGGGCTCAGAGAACCAGGAATGACAGATGCAGTTAGTTCCCTGGTGAGCAATGGCATGACTTCATCAAAACACTTCCCGGCATCAGGGATTAGTCCGTGAAGGCTCCCACAGACAGTGAGACCCAGAAAAGCTCAGAGAAGGCAGGGAGGGAACCTGTCTCTAGAAGGCGACGTCTGGGAGTTCCTGGGTTCCACCAGTCTAATCTGGGATGGGGTTTCCCTTGTGGGAGGATGCTGTCTCCACAGCCCTGGAGATCGTGGCTCTGAGTCATCTGTCTCCAGAATGCTCTCCCATGGGAGACTCTGCCTGGTGAAGATGAGAAGAGGGCCCTGGTGAGGGGTGAGAAAGGAACCCAAGTGCCCAGCAAGTGCCCAGCAGAAATCCAGCTGCAGTGAGACTGGGCACAGAGAAATCTTTAGACGAATTTATTACACGCCTTCATCCAGAGGAGGCAACTGAAGCATAGAAAAAATGTCATTTGCCGAGATGACGCGGCAGGTGAGGGTCTGAGCAAGAGCCCAGGGTGCGTCCTGGGGACCAGGGCACTCCCTTGCTGCTCTCGGGGTCCCCGGGGGCCCATGGGCAGCAGGACCAGGTGTGGCCCCAAGGGGGCACAGCACTGGACTCCCAGGTGAATCCCGTCTGGAACATCTATCCAAGGACACAGACTTCCCAGACCACGGGCTCCTGGGGCGAACATGGCAGACGTCCTGAGCTGGGAGGATTTATTTTCTCTTCTCCACTTCCTCGCTTTTATCAGATTTTCATTCTTAAGCAAGTACTCATCTGATCATTTCAAAATTAGGCATGGACAGTTGCTGTCTATGACTCTGAGGCTGCCTAGGGTGAGACATAGTTCTTGGCTGAGTCATATCCAAGTGCTCCTGATTTCCCTAGTCCCTGGTTCCCAGGATCTTGTAGTTCCCCAGTTAGGACTCTGGACTCCAGTCTGGCTCTCAACCCTAGAGGCCACCCTCTGAGCGTCTCCCAGCAACTTCCCTGCAGCAGCTCAGCTGTCAGCCCACAGTGGGCTCCGCCAGAGAAGGGCAACTTTTATAGAATGATTTACCCCCATCGGAACACTGCTGGGGTCTGGTGCTGAGCGGTGTCAGCTGTGGGAACTGCACATCTGCCTGCAGAGTGAACGCCGCCGCCCTCACAGCTGCTGTCTCGAGATTAAGCAGTTTTGGCATCTGACCTGGCCTTTTAGACGTTGCTCTGGGTTCAGATCCAACCCACAGAACAGGTTCTGATAAGAAGCATGTGACAAGGCGGTTAGGATGTGACCCTGGAATCAGAAAGACTCAGATGTGAATCTTGGCTCTGTCACGCATTACCCCAGGCCACATGATGGGGACAAGCAATTTCATCTGAGTTTCTTCATCTACAGCATCAGCAAAAGTA